ATGGCAGGTGATAAACAAGTGAGATCAATCATGGGAGATGATGAATAGTAGTACTTCTTGAAACAAACACAAAGACACTACAGACTTCAGGCCAACTCCACCGCACGACCCCAAACGGACGTCCGGATTGGCCGGATTTTATCCCTTTGGGGCGCTGATGGGTTTGCCCGTGTCCGCCTTTGTCAGATGGGTCGTGCGTGCGCGCACCGCGCGGCCGCATCCCAAATCGTGTCCGGGGTGGACGTGAATAAAAAAATATTAAAACTAAAACGAAATAACTAAAAAACTAAATAAACACATTTTAAAAAAAACATAAAATATATATAGGGGGCGGCCACAAAACGGCACAGTTTCCACGGCCACTTAAAAGGCCCATTTTTCATAATTAACATATAAAACAAAATAAAAAAACGCCTCCGCCTCCCGCGCGCTCCTGCCGCACCCATCGGTGTCGTGGCCGTCGCCGTCATCACTGGCCGCCGGTGTCGTCGTCGTCGCTGACGAGGTCGACGTACTCCGGCGGCGTCCACAGGTGGGCCGGAGGTGCATGGTGGACGGGGGCGGGCTGGACGGCCGGAGCTGCCTGCACCACCTCCTCCCGTGGCGAGGCCTCCCGCTCCGGAGTGGGGCACCAGTTCACGCCCAGGTCGGCGGCCATCTCCGGCGCAGTGCACGACCAGCCCCACCCCTGGCCCAGGAGCTTCTCGAACGCGGGCGAGTCCTCCTCCATCGGCTCCTTGGCGGCCGCCGTGACGGCCGCCAGCTGCAGCTCCGGGAAGGCGACGTCCCCGGCGGCAGAGAGGGCCACGGCCTCCTCCAGGCCGTCCCACTGCCGCTCGTCGTGCGTGTTCATGGAGTCGTCCATGACACGCTGCAGGAGACGGGCCTCCTCCTCCGTTGTCATGCGAGGAGGGGGGGGCGACGAAGACGGGGAAGGCGACGGCGTGGGCGTCAGGCCACGCACCCGCGTACACCCGGGCGGCTCTGCACGTGGCCTCCGCGGCCCCGACACGGTGCCGGCGAAGTAGGACGCGCGCCGCACGTCGTGCTCGTCCTGGAGCCATGTGTCCCAGAGCGGCGAGTCGGGGGCATACCTATGGTCGTAGTACAGGTCGTCGGGGAGGAGGCGGCGGTGGCGATTGATCTCATCGCGCTGTGCACGGCCGGTCGCCGGCACTGGCTGGATGGGGACCCGGTCCGCGCAGAGGTGCCACCCGTTGGGGAGGTGGGCGTCGCTCCACAGGACCGGCGTTCTCGTCTCCCAGTACCTCCGGCACACGTCCGCGCAGATGTACTGCCGGTCGCGCTCGCCGGAGGGCCTAGGGGCAATGGTGAAGGGGGCCGGCGCGGGGGCTCGACGAGAGGAGTGCGGCGGTGGCGTGGGCTCCTCCTTCTTCACGGAGCCGCGGCGGCGCCCCGAGGAGGAGCCGGCCTCGCGGTCGTGCTTGCCCTTGCCGTTCCAGAAGCCCATGGCGAGGTGGGCGGCCGGCGAGCTCGAGGAGGAGTCGGGCTAGGGTTTCTGCACTGTCGTGGTTCGAGGAGGCCGCTGGGTGGCGTGGGGCAATGTGGACGACGACCCGTCCACGCTTCTCACTTAAAGAAGGGCGGCGACCGCTCGACGTGCGGATGACAGGTGGGGCCGCCCGCTCGTGCGCATTGATGTGGGTGGGTGGGAGGTGGGTGGCCGCCTGCCACGCGGCCCCGATGCGGACGAGCGCGCGTCCGTTTGGTGTCCGCCGCGACCCAAACCCGGCGCAAGTTTGCGCTCGAAATGGGTCGGCCCGGACATAAAACGGGCAAGATGGGTCCGGGCCATCGCGCGCTGGGCCGCCTCCTTTGTCCCTTTTACCCCGAACGGACGGGGCCGGACAGGATAGGGTCGCGCGGTGGAGTTGGCTTCAGGGATCTACTACAAAAATTCAGACTTTGCATTACAGGTCAGAGCACCATTCCAGCCAAAAAGGGCTAAAATAAACAGGACAACTCTTATAGTACCATACAGGGCTGGGCTTTAAATACATATCACCATATATTGAGGTATGAGGTCTAAGAATTTAAAAAACGGACAGGGACGACATTAGATACATTCGACGGAGATGGAATGTAATTACAGATCATCGGCCAATTGATTCGCCGAGAATATTATGTTTATATATACCATGCTAAACTGATGTGCTCGGTTGTATACTACCACAGCACTGAAACAGCAACTGAGATGTACCGTGTCTTCCCAACATCTTGTACTGCCAAACTGATGTCACGCTCGAATCACACGAAGATGGATCCAGCTCCAGATCAACGGAGAAGCACAAAATTGTTCAGAATTGAAGTCACTTTCAGTCCCCTTACACGCAACTCAAAACTTTCAGCAACCGTCATATAAAGAAGAGAGAAATTTTAGAAGGCTCTCATCACTTGATACAGCGGTGCACAACCACAAACAAAGAAAAGACAAAGACCCCAAAGTACTCGACAGAACAAAAGGCTGTAGAAAAAAGTCCCGAAAAACTTGGAAGAACCAAGCAAGATCAACCTGCTGACAGACAAACACTTGACAAGAACATTTGCTGCCCCACAGCAAGTGGTCAACAGCACTACAGATCACAATTCACAGGGACAAACCGGATACAGAACTAGAATCAAGACTATACAATCTTATCCATCAACTGATTAAGCTTCAGACAATCAACAAAACAGAATATATTTTTTCCATAGCATCATGCCATCATTCAGACTTGAAGCAAACATCCGGGTTGCCCCACAAACATTCAGAAACTTCTCATCATCGGACAAGGCACCATCCCAGCAAGGGTGTTAAGCACGGAAAATTTTGGAAGGGACGGGATTAAACAAGCATGGATGGATGCCCACTTCTTTCTTCTCAACACCATATATATTGAGATCTCGGTCGGATTCTTCAAACTAGCACGTGGAGATTCCGCATGATCTTATCCATCAGCTGATAAGGCACGGTTAACATCCTAATTTTACTCAGAAAATTCATAAACTTTCGCAAGACGGCGCAGAGCACCAAGCAATCCACAAGTTGAACGCGTCCAGGAGCAAGGTTTTTTTTTGTGTGAACTGTCCAGGAACAAGGTTAACATGAAGCAAGACAACCGAGTCTAGTACCATTTCCTTTCAACATTTTTATAGCTGATGTTAAGATCTAAAATCCCGAAGACAAAATAAATAAATAAAACGTAATCAAAGAGCACAGAATAGGGAAAGCACATAATGAAAACTCTGGGCGATGCCAAGCAAAACCAAATCCCAATCAACTGGTGACGCTGCAATGCTTTAAATACCCATCGACCATAGCCTTTAAAGGGTGTATGTGTCCCTCTTCACCTGCAATGCGAGTACGTTCACGTATTCACTAACACAAGAACCAAAGCATCATCCCACTCCCACCACCACCATATGCAATATAAAGGTCTTGGGAGTTTGCGATTTACACTAATTCATAGCCAGTTTCCTTTGATAAGTTGCTAGAGTGGGTGGGCTGCTTAATCATATCGATTGGTCTCATGGTTTAGGATCCGATTTGATCGCGTGTTCACTTGGTTTTTTAGGATTTTTGAACAATCATTGTCTTATTTGTGGTGGTCCTAAGTCATTATCTATTCATTTATTTTAGTGAGTTCATTTGAGATATCAGACTGCCTCACACGGCGGAAACTGATTGGAGTAGGAATTCAGGCAAAACTAGACATTTGAGGCATACAGGAAGATCTATGAGCAATTTTCCTATACCCCTCAAGGGTACTTCAGTCAACTGGTAGTTGGTAAATGATTTGACTGTTGAAGATCTGGCCAACCAATCCGGTTTGACAATGCTCCCTTGGTCGATGGTTAAAGATTTCTGAGCAAGTTTGCACTTCTCATGTAGAGATCTCTGTCGTTCCGAGCCTGAGAGAGGGACATAACGCAAGCATCAAAATGCACTCCTCACATGTGACCAAGCAGAACAAGAAGGAATCGCATCTAGAAGGAGAATGAGACAATGTACTGACTAAAGATTCCTGATAATGGAGAAATGAGATCAATCATGGGAGATGATATGCAAATGAGAACAATCGAGGAAGATGATGCATAATAAATAATTCGGAATTGAAACAAACACAAAGACACTTCAGGGTTCCACCACAAAAAATCACTAATAGAATCATTTTTCAAGCAAAGCAATGGGTGCATTTCAATATCTACGCTTGATATTCTTCTATGAATTGCGTCCTAGTGCATTTTCTGCGCTTGAAATTATGTTTTGCCTCTTAATGTGTTTTTATCATTCTGACTCTTAATGTGTTTTTATCATTCTGAAACAAAGAGTTAGCTCGCTGTCACTGAAGAGCAAGCACAGCACAGTACATCACCAAAAGAACAACAGTCAAACCAGGTAAGCATAGAGAACCTCATGCCAGCTTGCAGATCAAACAAATTGCAGAATCAGCAACTCCAAAAGATGGACAGGTCCAAACCCAAAACGCTGCTGGCAGAGACTTGTCTCCCTGAAATCTCAGTGAGTCACATCAGATAAGTAGTGTAGTGGTTACTGTAGTTGTGCATTTTCCCAGCATCAAAATGTCCCCATCAGATCTAGCAAGAGGGAGAGTTGCTCCAAAACCAAAACACAGGCACACCAAGACATCCAATCCAAACTTTCAGAAGACCTAAACAGATGCAAGAACGAATTGCAGCAACCACACAAACTGGAGTACAGTATCTCCAACAATCGCTGGCACAAGACAAAAAGGGATCACCCAGCAGCAGCAAGAGAATCATATCCAGCAGTAGGATCGTAACATCTCCACAGGAGTAGGTAGTGCTGCATCTTGACAACATTCTGCGATGTCAGACGATGTCACGCTGGGATCCCAAAAAGAGTAGTCAGACTGATGTCACGCTCGGATCCCAAAAATGATGTAACAAACCGAATTGGAGGCAGGTGACAAAACAACTTTCAGCAGAAGATGTCATGTAAAGATCTTTTACAAACTTCACATCACTAGATAGAGCCATGATGTTGATGCTAGGAAGAGAAGAACCAACAAGCCAACAAAAGACAAGATCGGAGAGTTGTTGGCAGAACCAAAAGCAACAGATAAATTCCAAAAAAAACTTCTGTAGTAGTTCACAGATGCAAGACCATCTGCTGCCAACCAGATGACCAGTATACTGAATCTTACTCGCAGATCCAGCACCTGCTGCCACAAATGAGTGGTCAAAAGCATCAGCAAACCAAGACTGTACAATCTCATCCATCGACTGCTTGTGGGATCACTCAGATTTCAACAAAACATCAAGACTCCATCGTTACACCACAAACATCTTATATTCAGAAAATAGACAAACAGAAGTCATGGGATCACTCAGATTTCAGCAAAACATCAAGACTGTAGGGCTCCACAACAAGCATTCAGAAACGTTGCATCACAGGACAGAGCAACATTCCAGCAACAGACCGAAACAGAGAAACATTTCAGAGTGACAGGATCAAGCAAGCACGCATCAAGACCGATCTGCTTCCTTTCAACACCATATATATTGAGATCTGGGTAGGATTCTTAAAACAACCACAGGCACGACACTAGGTACATCCGACAGAGACTGAATTAAAACATGCTAAAAACGAAGGAACAGAGGGTGGTCCGAGCACAGGACCCTACAGGAAGGAAACCAGACTAGCAACTTCACCACTCGGATCCAGGACAACGACTAGATGGGACTAGAGCTACCATTTCTATCATCGCCATCAGCAGCAGCAACCTGAAAGAGAGGGAGGGACTACCATGGAGCTAAACTAGCAGCGAACATCCATCATCGATCAGTGACACCAGCAATGAGCAGCAACGGCCACGTTCCAGAGACCCCCTCCCCCTGCTGCGGCTGCTTGGCGTGCCGCTTCACTCGTCGCCCTGCACACGGCAAAGTTCAGACACAGAGAGTTTCAGAAACCAGCGTCACTGTTTGATGTACCAGAAGTTCAGAACTGATCGACAAGTTCAGCAACAAGGGAACGGTCAGGGGTGGGTGTCGATGGTCTCACCTCGCTGCCGTCATCCTCGTCGTTCACCTCGGACTTGGACTTGTCAGAGTCGCCGGACGCCTCTCCTGCCTGAAACGGGGAAGAACACGAAACAACACGGTTCAGTACCACCATGTGCTGCGTGAGACAGTTCTGACGGCGGTGTTTGGAGGACGGGGGATCTGGGGCTGGGGATTACCTGCGGGTTGTTGTAGGCGTCGATCTTCTTGGCGTACTCGGCCTTGAGCTTCTCGGCCTTGGCAGCATAGGGAGCCTTCTCCTGCAATTCATTCAAACAGCAGACAATTGTTAGTGCAGTGCAAGGCAATAGGTCTCAGGACAGACTTAACCATAAACAGAAAAGGAATAGTTGAACATATTGTGCGAAATGGCAGGGCATATATGAACAATGCAGGAACGGGCATGGGCACCAGTTTGAATTTACGAACACAGGAAGTAGAAATTCTATCGAGGCTGCACATTTGAACACGGCGAATCATAAATTTGAACAGCCAAATTGAGCATAGGCAGTAGATCAACAATTGCATAGACTGAATTGAACGAGCAGGCACAGGCAGCAGCAGTTTGAATTGATTGACACGGGACGAACAATTTCTACATTTCAACAGAGCGATTCGTGAATTTGAACGAGCAAACTGAGCGCAGGCAGTAGATCAACAAATTGCATAGCGACTGAATTGGAAATCTGACTAAACAACTGGGTCAAGCATTATCGGGACGACAAAATGCAGAGACGCGTAAACAAGTAAACCAGCATACGGGCGACCAAATTTTCATGGCGGCATCGCCGAGCAAGTACTGAGACCAGACAGGCGAGACCAACACTGAATTGAGCGGTAACAGAGAGGGGAGGGGAGGGGAGGGGAGGCGGGCCACTTACAGCATCACTCAGAGACTTCCACTTCTCACCACCGGCCTTGCCAATCTGCGATTCGACCAACCCAAACCAAATCAGGACACCGAATTGATTCACAATGAAACCCATCTCGCAGCAGCAGTTCAAACGAACACTGGACAGAGGCGGGGGCGAAGGGAACGGGAGCGAGACGCTTACCACGGAGACCTGCTTGACGTCGGGGTGCTTCTCCTTGTACTCCTTCCTGAAGGTGTCCCTGCGAAGGCGAAACCAAAACGAGCCTCGGTCAGCACGCGACGCCACGCCACACCATAGAAACAGCGCAAATCGGAGCGCAGGCAAGCACGAATCGAACTTCGGGGGGACTCACATGAAGACGAAGAAGGCGCTCGGGGGCCGCTTGGGCTTGTTGGGGTCCTTCTCGGCCTTGCTCTTCTTCACCGCGAGCCTGCGCCGCCACAACAGCAACAAGCCGAATCAGAAATCAGAAGCCGACGCGAAACAGCAGCAGCAGCAGGAGAACCAGAGCAGAACCAGCACGGGAAACGAAACGAGACGGGGAGAGGAGGAGCGAGTGGTCGGGTCGGGGCACTGACCTGGAGTCGCCGGCGCGGGAGCCCGCCTTGGCCTTCATCCTGCCGCCGGCCGCCAACCTGCAGCAACCACCACCACCGGCAGAACCGGCAGAGAGCCCAAATCAGGGGGAACCAACGGATCTGGAACCTCTGACGAACTGGCGGGGAACCGCAGGGTACCTTGAGATCGGAGAGAGGGGTGGGGTGGTGGAGGCGGGCGCTGCGTGTGCTTGGTGGGTGGGCTCGCCGGGTGGGAGATGGGATGTGGGGAGGAGGAGGGCGGCGGGATTTAAAGGCGGGAGGGTGCGGGGGCGGGAGCTTGCGCGGGACGGCCCGAAATTTTCCGGCCACGTCAGCGATCCGGACGCCCGCCTCCCATTGGCCGCGCGGCCGCGGGGTGCCTCCGTTGCCTTCACCCGCGCGGTGAGAGGGGGGTGGGCCCGGGGTGTCAGCGAGTGTGCTTGGGGCTGCGCGTGCTTTCTCTGCCCACAGGCGGTGCCGTTTGGTCTGTGCTTTCTGGAAAGTCTAGGGACGCGACTCATTTTGGCAGAGACGTATTCCACCGGGCGCCTGTGCGTACGTCTTCTGCGCAGGAATGTGCTATTTCGATTCGACACGTTCCTCGCAAATACTCTCAGCTAGGCTTTGGCACTTTCATCCCGCTTTATGAATGGAGCAACCGTCACGTCCATACAGCAGCTTCAAACGTCGCAACGGATATGAAATAAGTACGTCGGGGCATCAGCACAAACACGTCCAAAAAACACAACCATAAAATGAAGGGGGGTATACCACCAAGTGCCTAGCGAGAAGCAAGCCGGCATTCGGTCGCGGTCAATGACGGGGTTATTACCTATTCGGGTGATAAAGGGAAGTGGAACAGCAGGAAGCGATAACCGAAGCGACGCAATTATGACTTGGACATACGTCGTATAATCAAGGTGTCGGTTAGTTCTCGTAGTGGACAAGACGCGGATATACTCCGTAATTAATCCCCTGCAGTGTATAAAATGGGGGCCGAATGCACTCTTTATAAACCCATTCTCCTGCACTTAAACAAGGGTTCACACACGTTGTAACCCCACATCCATACACAAAGAACAAGCACCCGAAGCACAAGACGTATGGTTTTACCTCCGTCGGAAGGGGCCCGAACCTGCAAAAACTTCTCTGAGGCATGCTTGTGCCTAGCGTGACCCAACTACATTCCTACCCCTCTCTCGTATTGTCCGGATTTCCCATAACAGTTGGTGCCCACCTTGGGACTGCACATCTCGCAATAGATGGTGCAAGTGGAGTTTTCGTCTTCTTCAACTTCTAGCATGGAGTTGGTCCCCGGTAGCTAGGTTCTCTCGGCTCGATCGGCTTCATCGTCAATGATACTAGGTGGCTCGCGGAAGCCCCGATGGACGTCAGATCCATGCTCGTGCATTGCGTCACGCACTTCTGCGCCGACGACTCTAGTGTTATGCTCCATCAACTGCTCGTCTTGTACTGTGCATTACAACGGTCTTCAGTTCCTCGTTGCCACAAGCGCTCGGCCAAGCGAGATCTACACCGTTGGACCCGGCATGCTGCTTCAATCATGCTTCAGCCCAACATGTTGCGATCCCCTATACTTGTGGGTTGTGGGTTATCAGTGGACCCAACTGCTAATACTTATAACTATTCTTTGGCTCCCCTTGTGTCGAATCTATAAATTTGGGTTGAATACTTTACCCTCGAAAATTATTGCGATCCCCTATACTTGTGGGTTATCAGTGGCACCGATGAACTGTGTGCAGGGTTTATTTGCACTTAAGTGTGGCCGATGGGCTTTAGATCGGAGAGGCCGAGTCCAACACAGAGAAAAAAAATGTCAACTCAGCTCGCTTGCAATAGAGATCTCACAAAGATTTCCAGGGAATTCAAATAAGATTTGAAATGAATTGATCAGAAACTAACGAAAGGAAAAAGAAAAGACAAAAGAAAGAAATCTAAATGAAGTTTTTTTTGGTTAAAAGAAGGGAACACTCTAGCAAAAGAAAGGGCAAAGAAGTGCAAATGAGGAGGACACTAGAGAACTTCATCTAGAGGGGGTCGGTGACTAAGTCACATATGTAAGAGTATATTGACTCAGAAGTCAAGTGAATTCACTTGATCATAGGTTATTGATACGTCTCCGTCGTATCTACTTTTCCAAACACTATTTCCCTTGTTTTGGACTCTAACTTGCATGATTTGAATGGAACTAACCCGGATTGACGCTATTTTCAGCAGAATTGCCATGGTGTTATTTATGTGCAGAAACAAAAGTTCTCGGAATGACCCGAAACTTCATGGAACGTCTTTTTGAAAATAATAAAAAATTCTTGCAAAAGATGAAGACCAGGGGGCCCACACCCTACAGCGTGGGCCCCCTGAAGCTCCTCCGACCTCAACTCCAACTTTATATATTTGCTTTCGGGGAGAAAAAATCAGAGAGAAGGATTAATCGCGTTTTACGATATGGAGCCGCCGCCAAGCCCTAAAACCTCTCGGGAGGGCTGATCTGGAGTCTGTTCGGGGCTCCGGAAAGGGGAATCCGTCGCCGTCGTCATCATCAACCATCCTCCATCACCAATTTTATGATGCTCACCGCCGTGCGTGAGTAATTCCATCGTAGACTTGCTGGACGGTAATGGGTTGGATGAGATTTATCATGTAATCGAGTTAGTTTTGTTAGGGTTTGATCCCTAGTATCCACTATGTTCTGAGATTGATATTGTTATTACTTTGCTATGCTTAATGCTTATCGCTAGGGCCCGAGTGCCATGATTTCAGATCTGAACCTATTATGTTTTCATCAATATATGAGAGTTCTTGATCCTATCTTGCAAGTCTATAGTCACCTATTATGTGTTATGATCCGTTAACCCCGAAGTGACAATAATCGGGATACTTACCGGTGATGATAGTAGTTTGAGGAGTTCATGTATTCACTATGTGTTAATGCTTTGTTCCGGTATATAAGATCTGAACTTATCAACAATATAAGGTCTGAACTTATCACAAGCAAATACAACTGCTAAAAGTTCTTTTTCAGTAGTAGCATAATTTGTTTGAGCATTGTCTAGAGTCTTACTAGCATAATGGATAACATTTAATTTGTTATCAACTCTTTGCCCTGGAACAGCACCTATAGCATAATCGCTAGCATCACACATAATTTCAAAGGGTAAATTCCAATCAGGTGGCTGAACAATAGGTGCAGAGACTAATGCTTTCTTAAGTATTTCAAATGCTTCTACACAATCATCATCAAAGACAAATGGTATATCTTTTTATAATAAATTAGTCAGAGGCCGAGAAATTTTTGAGAAGTCCTTAATGAACCTCCTATAAAATCCAACGTGACCAAGGAAACTTCTTATACCTCTGATGTCCTTGGGACATGGCATCTTTTCAATAGCATCAACCTTTACTTTATCAACTTCAATACCTCTTTCAGAAACTTTATGCCCCAAGACAATACCTTCATTAACCATAAAGTGGCACTTTTCCCAATTCAAGACAAGATTAGTTTCTTCACATCTCTGCAAAACTCGATCAAGATTCCTCAAGCAATCATTAAAAAAAGATCCATAGACAGAAAAGTCGTCCATGAAAACCTCACAAAAGTCAGAGAATATAGCCATCATGCATCTTTGAAAGGTTGCAGGTGCATTACATAAACCAAAAGGCATACGTCTATAAGCAAAATTACCAAAAGGGCATGTAAAAGTAGTCTTTGATTGATCTTTAGCCGACATAGGTATTTGAGAGAAATCAGAATAACCATCTAGAAAGCAGTAATGTATATGTTTGCATAATCTTTCTAGCATTTGATCAATAAAAGTTAAGGGGTAATGATCTTTCTTAATATCCTTATTTAATTTGCGGAAATCAATTACCATCCTATAACCTGTAATAATTCTTTGTGGAATCAATTCATCTTTATCATTAGGAACAACAGTAATACCTCCCTTCTTAGGGACACAAGGAACATGACTTACCCACTGACTATCAGCAACATGATAAATTATACCTGCCTCTAGAAGCTTTAGTATTTCTTTTCTTACCACTTCTTTCATTTTAGGATTCAGACATCGTTGAGGATCACGAACTGGTTTGGCATCTGCTTCCAAATTTATTTTATGTTGACATAGAGTGGGACTAATGCCCTTAAGATCATCAAGAGTATATCCAATAGCAGCACGGTGCTTCTTCAGAGTTTTCAATAATCTTTCTTCTTCATGCTCTGAAAGGTTAGCACTAATAATAACAGGATATATCTTCTTTTCATCAAGATAAGCATATTTAAGATTATCAGGCAACAGTTTAAGTTCAAACACGGGATCACCCTTAGGTGGAGGAGGATCCCCTAGGATTTCAACATGCAAATTGTGTTTCAGCATAGGTTCCTGTTTAAAGAATACTTCATCTATTTCCCTTCTTTCATTCATAAACATATCATTCTCATGGTCTAGCAAATATTGTTCTAAAGGATCACTAGGAGGTACGACAATAGAAGCAAGACCAATAATTTCATCCTTACTAGGCAATTCTTCTTCACGGTGTTGTTTACCAAATTTAGAGAAATTAAATTCATGAGTCATATCATCTAAGCCGACAGTAACAACATTCTTAGTGCAATCTATGGTAGCATTAACAATATTTAAGAAGGGTCTACCAAATATAATGGGACAAAAGCTATCTTGTGGGGAACCAAGAACAAGAAAATCAGCAGGATATTTAGTTTTCCCACACAAGACTTCAACATCTCTAACAATTCCCATTGGTGAAATAGTATCTCTATTAGCAAGTTTAATAGTAACATCAATTTCTTCTAACTCAACAGGTGCAATGTCATGCATAATTTCTTTGTATAAGTCAATAGGTATGGCACTTGCACTAGCACCCATATCACATAAGCCATGATAACAATAATCTCCTATTTTAACAGAAATAACAGGCACGCCTACCACAGGTCTATGTTTATCTTTAGCACAAGGTTTAGCAATTCTAGCAGTTTCACCGCAGAACTGAATAATATGCCCAT